CCAAACAAAGTAGTTTCGCTTTCACAATGAAACACACAGCATCTCCACAACAGCGAGAATAAAAGTTACGCCGCCTTTCTTTGCGTGAACATTTGGGTGGCGTTAAGAATATCTCTTTGGATTTGAGACTTTAGTCTTTGCAACTTTACAGATCTTCTTTATGCACCAAGAGCTTGTAACACTCCAAAGAGAGAGGAAAAATTGAAATCGCATCATATGACCCCTTTAATTTTTTTGCCATAATTTGATTTGCCAGGGAACTCCATGGGAATGGATCGCATGAACTCTGGCATGGATCGGCTTGGCGGCGGCATGGACCGCATGGGAGGACTGGACCGAATGGGAATGGATCGCATGGACCGCATGTCTGATCTGGACCGGTTGGGATCTGGCTTCGACCGAATGGGTTCAGGGCTTGACCGACTGGGGCCCAGTATGGATCGGCTGGGATCAGGCCTCGACCGCATGAGCTCCAGCGTGGACCGCATGGGTCCTGGTGGGTTCGACCGCTTGGGCCCGTCCGGCATGGATCGCATGAGCGGCGGAATGGACTTTGCCTCTCCTATGGGCATAGACCGGATGAACACAGGCCTCGACCGAATGGGTTCAAACTTCGACCGCATGGGCTCCGGTGGCATGGACCGCTTCCCCTCCTCAGGTCTCGACCGCATGGGTTCCAGCATGGACCGGATGGGCTCTGGTGGCGTTGGTGGGCAGTTTGACAGACCTGCTGATATGGATCGTGGCAATTTCGGGACTCCTTTCAGTGGGTCTGGACAAGGAGGGCCAGGGGCTGGTGGAGCCAATGCCAGGAAGGGCTGCCAGATTTTTGTCAGAAATGTAAGCATTTGATCTTAACTTCCTGTATTTTTATTTGTATTTTTTCTTCCCTCTCATTCACAAAGCAATTGTCTATTTTTGCAGCTGCCCTTTGACTTCACTTGGAAGATGTTGAAGGACACTTTCAATTCATGTGGTAAGACACTTTTCCATCAGACATCTTCAGCATTTCTTGCTCTGTTTTGTTAATCGATATGGCTTGTTTGCATTTTCTAACAGGCATTGTGCAGTATGCAGACATAAAGATGGAGAACGGCAAGTCCAAGGGCTGCGGTGTGGTGCGCTTTGACAGTCCTGAGACCGCCGAGCGAGCCTGTCGTACCATGAACGGCTACCGGCTCAGCGGGCGAGAGATTGACGTCAGGATCGACAGAAATGCATAATCGTCATCTTTGCCTACTGATTCCTTCCACTCCCTCACTATGCTTTCCAAATTATTTGTCCGTTACATAATTGTATTTGTGCCGAATGGTACTAATTTTTTTTTTTTTTAGTTTTGCCTAAGACTTTTAGAGACCAAATGGTTTTTTTTCTCCCCAATTTTTATTGTGATGCTTTCCAAGAAATTGCCTTTGTTAAAGGTTTGCTAATAAATCTCAACATTGAGAACTTAGTGGTGTTGTGTGGTGCTTTTCAGTCATGTTTGGCATTCTCTCTGCAATTTGGTGCTGCTAGTATAAAGCAGTGTTTCCCAACCGGGGTGCCGTCTGTCGAGAACAGGGGTGCCGTGTAAAAAATCCTTTTTTAATATTTTTAAAGTAAATACAGCTTTAGATTTAAAAAAAATATTTTGTAGTGTGAGCGACATTAATTTTTAAGGTTTGCTGTTTTAATCGGGTTTTGTAGTGTTCTATTTTTTTTTTATTCTGTTTAATCCAATTGGGTCCATGAAAGTTGTTAACCTTGAACCTGTAGCAAAATCTGCTTGGGGAAATTTTTCATCCTCCTATGAAATTACCGATTGCATGGAATCTTATTAAAATTGTCTGTGGAAATCCATTGAACAAAAAATTGTTAAACTTTAGTAATAGTTCTTGTTAATATGAAGACTGGACTGTGCAGACACGGACAAGTGGAGTGATAAAACAAAAAGTCCCAGAGGTTTTGCCACTGCAGCCTGTCAAATACAAGGTAACATTTAATTCACTTCATGACGTTTATGAAATGATGTATACATATAAGCATAGTTTGTGCTAGCATCAAATTCAAAATATGTAGTTTTCACATTTTATAACACCACATCAAAACCAAAGCTCATGGTTACATTTAATTTGTGATGTATATCTGTTGAACCTGAGATTTTTTGGAAAAATCTGAATGGTACAAGAACAAAAAATAAAATTAAACAAAAATCTTGTGACTCAAGTCCATGAGTTGTATTTATTTAAGAATCTGAACAAATGTACACACATCGGTCCATTGGTCGTGGTCTTTTCATAGAGATGAATGTCTATGCTGTACATCAATGTCAAGACACATTTCATCATGCTCTTTTGCTATTTAGGGGGGCACACACCTTTTTGACCACATACACGCGTACACACACACAAACACAGCTCAACTGTTGGAAGAGTAAGCAATTGATACAGCTGTATTGTCTTTGACTGTACAGACTTTACAATCCCAACTGTAAAGTGTACACATATGATACAAAGAAACAGACTCAAACACAAGAAAACGTCCTCGATGCTGGAAGAATGGTTGGGTTTGTGTGGACCTATAGGACACCTTTCACAAGCCACTTGTGAAAAATGAAATACAAAAGAAAACTTCAAATGACAAATAAAATAGATTTTATATGTATTTAAAGAGCTATATACAAATTCTCTAAGACACTATCATTGGTGAACCAGAAAGACTGAATCAGTGAATAGTTTATAACTACAATAGGATTTAGGTTGGCAAAAAATTAAGGCAACCAAAATATGTGTGTGCTACACTTTACAAATGTATTGCTGCAGTAGTCCCTTTATTTTGGATACAACAGCAATATCAATAACAGCTGGCAAGATTATAAGAATCAGTGTTGCACACGTCCATTGTAAAATGAGACACTCGCTTACTCAAAACCACAAACACGCTCAATGCATAGGCATACACACACATTCTATACATGTGGATTTACAAATTCATGTTTTAACAAATATTTCTGATTGCGATTATGGTAACAAGTTGTTTTACATATTTGGCCTCCCACATAAGTTTGGTCCCATCTTTCAGTTTAACATGTCTTAATAACCAGGCCCTGATGACTTTGTACTGGATTTTGGCGGGAAAATCTGTGGAACAAATTTAAATGACCAGAATGAATAAAATATAAAGATCAGGTGATGCGGAAAATGTCATTTTCTATAACATCTAGCATCCGTTATCAGTCCTAATTTTTAAATTAAAATTAAATTAAAAAAAGAGAACATTTTGGGACTTTGGTTAATGCCAAATGTCACACATCAAACAGCCACTTCTTGGAAATTCATAACTCTGAAACACTGAACACTATTGCTGGCGTAATATTTTTTTGAAGAATCAATAAAAATAAAAGCAAACCATGTTTGTGTATATCTAAGGTCTCCGACAGAACTTTAATTTTTCAAAAGTTACGAAACAAACAATGCTACCTGATAACAAAGGTGCATTAACAACTAAAAAGAATCCCCTAAAAAAAAAAAATAATAATAATAATAACCTACAACCCACTCTTGGGAAAAGTCTTTTGAGTCCCAGAGCTCAAATCGGAAAATACGTTCACAGTATGTACATTAGACAATAAATGAAACACAAAACAATAAAAAAATAATTAAACATAAATATTTTCATTATTACTCATAAATAAGTCTGGACATTGGTATTACTACTTGCTTGGTGTTGTTTATGGAATGGGTGAAAGGACGATGAAAATGATGCTTAAGTTGCGAAAAAGTCCGACCAGTAGAGCTTCCGGACATCTGAAGAGTCTGAACCTTTGTAGCTGCCCCTCTTTCCTGAGGTCTGATTACTGTTGGGACACATTGAATTTTTATGCGATTAATATGCAAGGAATAACAGACAATGGATCGTCAACGTCAAGAATCGCGAACCCAAGACAACTACAGTAAAGCGCGCACTTACTGTTTCACTCTCCCCTTCATCCTCTGGCAGGGTTTTAGGCCCTGAGCTGAAGTGCAGAGGAGAATATACCCAGCTTTTGTCTTCTGGAGGCTGGTTTTACAAAAGCCAGACAGCAGAGGGCACCAGAAAGGGTGGAGACAGAGACAGCCAGCAGAAATATGCAGTGGAAGAAAGAGAGGAAGACAAGAGTGAGGAATATCAGAAATGCAGTGGTAAGAAAGACAGACATTAGTAAAAAAAAGAGTCGTTGTGAACGTTAATAAGGCGGGAAAGTAGTAGCTTTATATACAATGCGAATTTATTGGATTTTTTTTAGCCACTGCTCAAAGATTAAAATCAAGATTTTATGAATTAACAAAAGCTGAAATCTGGTAAGTAAACAAAGAGAAACTTTGAATGCGAAGGAAGTGAAGTGAAAGAAAAACAATCACAAACTAACAGAGTTCATAAAGACAACGTAAAAAAACACGCAACACTTTTTATTTACATACCATATAAAGTATTTCCATATGAAACAAATACTATTGAAGGGAAAATATTGAAGGGTTTGACTTAATTTTATCCACCAGGATTTGATTGGAAAGCAAAAAGTAAGCATTGATATTATTGGCTACTAGTAGTTGTCCCCACCTACACGGCCTACATTACATCAGCAGACAAGAAAAGTTGTTCAACTTGCTATATTTTAATTAAACATTATAAAACATAATTAATAATATGCACTATAAAACCAGAAACACTGTATAAAAAAATAGAAATATTTTGCAGTTGTGTATGACAACAATACTAGTTTTTGAAGGGGACAATAATGGAAAATTACATTAAAAATACTAGCGAAACTTTTCTAGTGTTATCCAGTGATACTGTTTTTTAATCAATTTGTTTTATTAACATTTTGAATGTCTATTTTGTCTTTAAAGTAATTTTAGTTAAAGTTTTTGTAATTTTATTGTGCATTTTTGTCATTTAAAAAAAAAATATATATATATATTTTCACATTTTTTTATTTTACTACATTGAGTTAAAGGATTAGTTCACCCAAAAATTAAAATTAGTCCATGTTTTACTCACCCTCAAGGCATCCTAGGTGTATATGACTTTCTTCTTTCCGACGAATCCCATCAGTTATATTAAAAATTGTCCTGGCTCTTCTAAGCATTAGAATGGGAGCAGGTGGGTGTTTTTGTTAAACAGTCCAAAAGTAGTCAAATAAAGCGCGTGCATCCATGATAAAACGTGCCTCACACGGCTCCGGGGGGTGAATAAAGGCCTCCTGTAGTGAATCGATACATTTTTGTAATAAAAATATCCATATTTAAACCTTTCTATACAATTTTTTCTCACTTCTGCTGACTGTCGTAGGCGGAAGCCGTTCCAGCGGATGACGTAGGACATATGCGCAGCGCTCGTGCCGGTGATTAGTGACGAACGCAGAAGCGCGGAGGAGAGACAGCAAAACAAAACGGTCACGAATTAGAAGCACAAAACGAGGATTTGTAAAGAAAAATGTAGGAGGATTTCAATATAAGCCAAGAGGAAACTGGTTTTCCTTTGCTAAAGTAAGGAAACTTTGCTTAATAGGACATGTAGCATTAAATGGGCACATAATAGGGAAACATGAAACAGGCAATTGTGATAAATGTGGACTACCAGAAACGGTTGAGCATGTTCTTTTAATGTGTATAGCGTATGAAAGGGAAAGACATCAGATGTTCCAAGAACTGGAACTGATGGGAATTAAAGGGGTGGTTCACAGTTTTTTTTCTAGGCTTGATTGTGTTTATGGGGTGCAGTCTAACATGTGTTAATGCTTCGTTTTTAAAAAAAAACGCATTATTTTTCACATATTTACCTTTATTCCACACCGCTCTGTCCCTTCTCTGAGAAACACGCTGATCATTTCCTTCTTTTATGAA